CATTCATATGAGAGATAATAAGCCTTGCATTGACTGGGATATTGCCTCCTCAATATTACCTTGTAATTCAATTGTCAGTAGGAAAATTATAGAATCTAGTCTCGTTAAACATACCAAATTTGTCAACATGAATTTGAATAATGGCAAGTACATATTGGACAATTTTGTGATTAAGAAGATTTGTAACCAGGTGAAAGGGTTGGGTCACTACCTTATGGCCGGAATTTGGTGGACACCTGCTGTCCCCAGGGACTTGACCTCACTTTCCTTTGTCAATAATTACACCTTAGTCTGTACCCACCCCTGAAGATATGAATTACACGAAAGTGCTTGGGAACTTCATGTTTTCTTGTTTCCAATTTGGTTATCAGCATATACAGTGATACCTTGCTTTACGCGGTCAATTGAACCCACAGAGGCACGAGTAAAGTGAACAACAGAAAATATGGGATTAATTGTAATAGAGACTGGGCCGACCCCCAAACTCCACTTTTTCCCGACACAATACTTACGTTTTAGTAAAAATAACATCTTAACTTTATGATGGTATGCACACACACATAATATAGAAGAGAAATATCAATAAGAGAATAATATACTGTACCAGGTAAAAGAAAAATCAAGGTTTAACACATATGTCATAGTAGGTTAGGTTAGAAAAAATCAAGGTTAGGTTTAACACTTACGTTAGTAGAAGAGATGGGTCGGCTTACGGGAATGGAGGCTGGTTCTGAGGCAGAGGGCAGGCTACTGGCCCTCAGGTGAGTCACCATCACTGCCATTCACTCTTATCAGGGCCTCCCTGACAAATCCCTCAAAGTCACCATCACTGTCTCTGTCACTATCACTGGCTTGCTGGCTTGGGCTGGCTGTGGTGGGTTGCGGGCGAAGAACTCGGTAATGCTTTGTTGATGGCTAGTGTTGATGTTGTCGTGATACACCTTGATGTAGGGCTCCGTAGTCTGCAACAGCTGGGTAGTGAAGACTTCATACCGGTTATCGTCAGGGTCGTCGGAAAGGAGGAGCTTCAGTTTCTCTACACACTCGATGGCACCCCTTACATTACCATGCAATAACTTGTGTTCTTCTCGGGATGACGCACCGCCTGTCTCTTCACTGACGTCATCATCTTCTAACATCTCGTCGGCAGTCACTTCAGGATCTCTGATCACCTCCAGGATGTCGTCGTTGGTGGTCTCGGAGAAGCCTTTAGCTGTAACACTCTGCGCAGCTTCTCTGGCAAGGTCCACTGCTACTGCAACAGTCTGAACCTCACCAGTCACAGATTGACTCTGCCTCCCACCTGGGATACCTTGCAACACATGTCTCCATGCGTGACGAACCGTTGCTACAGACAGCAGATCCCATGCCTCCACCAAGAAGTCCACAGCTTTCTTGACATTGAATTTCCTCCAAAAGTGTTTCACAAGTACTTCTTGCTCTGCCAACTCTTGTTCCTCGTCCTCTTCGGTCTTGCTATCGGTGTCACCCAGGTTGCGCAACTCATCCTTGGTGTTGGTATAGTCGTTCAGGAGCTTAAACTTCTTTGCAGAGACTGCAGCTTTCACATTGCAGATTAATTCTTGGTCCATGGGCTGGATTAATGACATAGTGTTGGGAGGAACATTCTGTTGCTCACAGAATTTCTTCACATCGGGAACGAAAGAGTCATCAAACCAGGAGAGGCACAGAGTAGAGAACATCCACGCCTTACGTGCGGTCAGCCAGTGGACATTTAGCTTGGTCATGTCCATGTTCTTGTAGGCGTGCGGCTTGCAGGCTGTGTGGATCACCGATAACTTGAGCTTACAGGTACCGGAGGCATTGTTGGTAAACAGGACGGTGATGTGCTCCTTCTGCAACTTCCGGTCCCGACACTTGCTGGCAGTCTTGACAACGAAGGTCTTGGAAATTAGCTTTTTCCAAAAGAGACCAGATTCGTCCTTGTTGAACACCTGGTCATCGGTGTACTGTCCTTCCTCCATAATCTCACGTAAAAACGGAGGAAATTCCCTAGCCGCAACATGGTCAGCACTCGCTTCTTCACCACCAGTGTTAATGTTGGTGATCTTGTTCCTCTTCTTAAACCTCTGCAACCACCCAGAGGAAGCATTGAAGGGTTTGGGCTCTGCAATTCCCATCTTACGTGACACTGCTGCTTACAGTTCACGTGCGTACTCCTGAACTGAGCGCATGTCGACCGCCATGTTCCGATATGTCCGATATGTCATATGACGTCACCGGTAACGCAACAAAGACATACACTGCGTAACCTACTCGCGCCACTTACCCAACATGGCGGGATGGCGGGAGGTTTGAATCCAAAAATGGCGCGGCGCGAGATGACCGCCAGCCGCTCTCCATGTAAAAGAGTAGATGCACCGCGTAAAGTGAACATTCCGTGCCTGGCGGGGTACAGCGTAAACGAAGAAACGCGAAAAAAAAAAACTGCGTAAAGCGGAGTAATACTGTACATGGATCACGCGCACCTACAGTGATTTATTTGCATTATACAGTATATAAATTATTCTTTCATTTGCAGTGGAAATGGGGTGGGGGGATATATGGTCTCATATTACCGACCTTCTGATGCAATGTCAGGTCATCCTTTTTTGCGGTTGGGGATTAGTGTGTCTCATGATGTAACTAATAATGTTTTATATCTTATCACTACTTTAACACTGTATTCTTGGCTGATTGTGTCTTGTACAGTAATATAAGACACAGTAATATATGGTACACAAACACTCGCAACTGCTATGCGCGGTAGCATATGTAGTGTTTACACAAACAGTGTTAATTTACAGTAAAATTACACAATTTAATCGCTGTTTATGTCTTAACACAACTTTAAAACAGTATTCTTGGCTGATTATGTCTTGGTCCAGTAATGTACAGTACTGCACAACATAAAATTTATGCAAAAACAGCAGTGAGCAAAAGGTCAACCTTGTAGAATGGCTGCGAACAATGAACTAAGCATGCCTTGATGCTATGCTTGGGAGAATAATCTGTGAGATGCATGAGCCTATCACAGGCATCCCATGCAGTCACATGACAGCATTAGCCAATCAAAGCGTGAGGACCTGGGAGCATGATGCAATCTTTTGTCATTTTCCGGAACCTTTGCCCCCAAGCCTGGAGCAGAAAAATTTGGATAGTTTCTGGAATTTTCTTGGAATTTTTTCAGAATTATGCTTTATTTCATCCTCAGAATTTGTTTGCAGTCCTTGAAAGAAAATTTTTGGCAAGTTTTTTGGAATTTTCTCAGAAAAGGTGCCTGATTTTCAACCTCGGAAACTCTTTCACAGACCTGGTATGGAGAAAGTCTTCCAGGAAAAATTCTGAGCCGATATCATTTCCGGATAACGGGTAGTTCACTGTATTTCAATGCATAATGGTGTTGCGAAGTTTTGTTAGCGGCAACACGTGAGCTGTTCTGTGGTAACTCTACCAAGCATGTGTCACTATACTCCTAACATAAAGAACTACATTTCTTCATTTTTTTCATAAATATGTAAAAAAGTTCAGATAAAATTCCTGTAAATTTATTTCTCATTATTTATCTAACTTCTATGACATTTCTTGAGAATACAGTATCAAAATTTCTTATAATTAAAAATTTTCTCTGACATGGCAACACTGATCATTGCAGTGGTGAGTGCACACAGGCAGGGAAGCTGCCAGATGTATGACAGTGACAATGTCCATATCTAGACGGCAGTACACAATTTTAACGTAAAAAATTTTCACCATGCTTTTTTTGAGTATGAAGATTCCTAGGCGATAAACTCTTCCTTATGCGTATATGCATATGAAAACCCAGAGAGTGTTAATTTAGTGGGTTATGCTTAGTTTTACAATAATATTGCTTTGAATTTAGATGAGTTATTGTGCCAATTTTAGGTTAGAAATTGTGTTTTCATTAGCCATGCTAATGTGCTTAATTATTGCACTTAATTTACCCAGGATACTTCTTAATTTAACAAAGGTATTGCTCCAAATTAGTTAGGCTGCATCTCCAAATTTAAGTTGATTTTAAGGCTTAGTTTAGTCAAGTTCTTATGCTTCATTTAGTTAGGGTCTGTGGAATGGGATGATGAGCCAAGAGGGGTTTACAGTAGTGTGTATTAGTTGATAATCTCTCTTCCCTTTCTTTTCTCCGCAATGTTGCTTCACTCTCTCTCTTTTTACAGGTACTTTAATGGGCAATGTTCGATGGATTTGGCATCCTGTGTACCGCCGGCAAGGCCGTGGGCTCGTAACTCACGTCTTGCCCGCGGTGCCCATCGTTTCTCTGTGGATGTCAGTCACACTAGAATAACCCGTTATAGTACATCCTTCTTTCCTCACACAGCCAAACTGTGGAATGCTCTGCCTTCTTCTGTGTTTCCTTACTCTTACAATCTGTCTCACTTTAAAAAGCTGGTTTTCCGGCATCTTCGTGGGGTAGATTAACATACCCTTTTTCTTTTCTGTTTTTAATTTCTTTTTACTCTTATATTTTCGCCCCCCTAGGCCCCTCTGCTGGTCATTGGCCTGTGCCCGGGTGGGCTATTCCCCATAAAAAAAATATAAATATATATAAATAAACAGCAGTGACACGACAACTCCGGTCTTGGCTGATTTGCTTGCATGTTGAGTAATTTGATGTTAGTATAAATTTTGCAGTCAACACCTCCTGGGTCTGATGTCCGTTGCAACAATCACTCAGTGGTAACTATAAACCAGTGCTACCAACTTAATGTATGCCATTACTCATCAGTGTTCTTCAGAATTTTTTATCTGGTATGTCATATTGTATAACTCTGTAAAGGTGCAGAACAAAATTTGTTGACTGTTCATTAGGCAGATTTTTAGTGAGTAGACTCATGTTGGATGTGTACTATACAGTAGATGTCAGATGTATCATGATGCATGCTGGGGTTATGGAATTAAGGCATAGCTGTTTTATACCATGTTCTATTCCTGTTTTTTATTTGATCTTGATATATTTACAGGGAGAGGTCAACATTTGGTTCGAGTCTGTTAAGTGGTGTTTTAGACTGTCTAAGCACACACTGCCAGGCCTGCTACTGGGAGTATTTGAGAAGTTCAACAATTATAGTAAACGTTTAGAAAACTTCCCCAAGCTCCTCACCATGTGTGCTGATCTCAGGAGTGAGCTCAAGGTAATGCTATAGTTTTATTTCATATAAAAGAGTAATATACCAATTAATTTATGAAAAAATGTCAAATAAACTAAACTTCTTCCAAAAAAAAAAAGTGTACAGTATTGTATATGATATACAGTATTGTATTTTGATATACAGTATTGCATATGATATACAGTATTGTATATCATATACAGAATGTATTGAATATGATATACAGTATTGTATATGATATACAGTATTGTATATGATATACAGTATTGTATATCATATACAGAATGTATTGAATATGATATACAGTATTGAATATGATATACAGTATTGTATATGATATACAGTATTGTATATGATATACATTATTGTATATGATATACAGTATTGTATATGATATACAGTATTGTATATGATATACAGTATTGTATATGATATACAGTATTGTATATGATATACAGTATTGTATATCATATACAGAATGTATTGAATATGATATACAGTATTGAATATGATATACAGTATTGAATATGATATACAGTATTGAATATGATATACAGTATTGTATATCATATACAGTATTGTATATGATATACAGTATTGTATATCATATACAGTATTGTATATGATATACAGTATTGTACAGTGGTCCCTCTGTTAATGAACACAATTGGATCCAGAAGGTCGTTCGTTAACCGAAACCGTTGTTTCAATGGGATATTGGGTAATTGGTTCCAGCTCACCGAAAAGTACATTCAAAGTAAAAAAAAAAATGCAGTAAAGTACACTTGCTTTGAGGTGTGTATGTAGAAGGCCCCTGGTTGATAATAATGATGGGAATTAGAAGTGGGGTTGGAGGAGAAGGGAGAAGAGAAGGAAGTGGGGATGGAAGAGAAATCACCCCATGCTTCATGCCGTCATTTCACCAATAAAATTTTAAGTTCACTAGGTGTAATTCAAGATTATTTTCTTTAAGTCAACACTGCACTGCACTATATATTGTCAATATGTTAAATAAATTTCAGAATGACCAATAATTGTACTGTAAAAATGTAAAAATACTCTGTGTTCAAGAGACCCACAAGCAAGATGTTTCCTCCACTGAACAGAGGCACAAACTGACGCCTTGGTGGGTGAGTGAAGTGGCTGATGAGCGCACCAAAAACTAGTTCCCTGTACTGCAATTATGTTAAAAAAGTGTTAAAACGACTAATAATTTTAAAATAAAACTTGGAAAAATATTGAATAAAACAACCTTCTTGATATTTACTCCAATGGAAACGAATATAAGCCCTAGAACCGATTACTGTATTGGCGGACTAATCTACCAGCTGGTGAGCAAGCCAAAACATGTTGACATGTTTTCGTAAGAATTTCATTAACCAAATTTTTGTTCGTTAACCGAATTGAAGGTTCTTATGGAAGGTAATTCGTTAACCGAAATTTCGTTACCCGAGGGACCACTGTATATGATATAAAGTATTGTATATGATATACAGAATGTATTGAATATGATATACAGTATTGTATATAATATACAGTGTTCCCTCAGTTAACGAACACAATTCGTTCCAGAAGGTCGTTTATTAACCGAAACCATTGTTTCAATGGGATTTTGGGTAATTGGTTCCAGCTCACCGAAAATTACATACAAACAAAAAATAAATGCAGTAAAGTACACTTACTTTGAGGTGTGCATGTAGAAGGCTCCTGGATGATGATGATTGGAATTAGAATTGGGGTGGAGGAGAAGGGAGAAGAGAAGGAAGTTAGGGCGGAAGAGAAATCACCCCATGCTTCATGCCGCCGTTTCACCCATAAAATTTTAAGTTTACTTGGTGTAATTCAAGATTATTTTCTTTAAATAAACACTGCACTGCATTATATATTGTCATTAAGTAAAATAAATCTCAGAATGACCAATAATTGTACTGTAAAAATGTAAAAATAGTTTATGTTCAAGAGACTCTCAAGCAAGATGTTACCTCCACTGAGCAGTGACACAAACTGACGCCTGCTGGGTGAGTCAAGTGGCTGTTTGGCGCGTTAAAAACTAGTTTCCTGTTCTTCATTTACACACAATTGCAGGGTCTCAATTCTTTCTCTTATCATTGACAACACAACATACATATATCGTTTCTCACTTTTGATCTTTTTTTCATTTTTGTATTTATAGTTCTTTATTTTTTTAAATTATTATTATTATTACAGTTACTGTATTATTGTCATAATTATTTTATTATTTTATTTTTGTTTGTTTTATCATAAATTTTATTTATTATGAATTATTATGACTATTATTTATTATTATTGTTATTATTGTTATTATTGTTGTTATTATTATTATTATTATTATTATTATTATTATTATTATTATTATTATTATTATTATCATTACAGTAGAAGTCCAAAAATCCGGACTGCTTGGGGATTGGGTCGGTCCGGATTTTCGGATTTTCCGGATTCTCAGGCAGTACTTTTAAAATTCAAATTTAAGGAGGAATAAAGAAGAGATGAACAGGTACATTTTGATAGTTTATTCATTAGCAATTATAGCATGCTTCATTTATCAAAACGAGCAGTTTTAATGAAAAAGCTGTGAATTCTAGAATTTTTTTCTTTGCCTTTTTTATATCATAAATTGTAGACTTTCCAATGTCGTATGTTTCCATTAGAACAGTATTGCTCACACCACGTACTAGTTTCTTAATTATTTCAAGTTTGTCACTCAATTTCAACGTGTTCTTCTTTCTCTTCACACAACGAAGTTTATCTACTTTAGGAGCCATTATTATGGGCTTGTACAGTAATCTGTAAATGGAAAGAGTAGGACTCAAAATATTGTTATATTACAATACAATGGTATTCTATTCATACTGTGCTTGATATAATGCATTCACGGAAATGTAATATTTTTGCTAAAATGACGTACGTATTACAGCGGAAAGTGGGATCAAATCGTGACGAAAACAATGACTTTCGCTTTCTTTCGTTCAAAAGATGTTACCGTAATCGCTTTTCGAATGGTTTAGTTAAAAAACTGTTGTACTGTATTACAATAGTATTCTATCCTAAATGACTTGAATAAATACTATGATACTATATTTCTGAATATTTTCATTAAAATCCATCAAAATCATTTTCTTTGTCATCGTCTGCAGCACCAAACTGCTTCTCCCAGTCTCTCCTTGAACAGGGCTAAAGGGTACGTATTTTTCGAATCGTTTTCAGTTAAAAAACTATTACATCACACGTATATTTTACCTAAACTGCGCCTGAATGAATATATTCTCGGAAATAAATAGTAGTTTTGCTGAAACGTGATGTATTTCAATGTAAACTAGGATAAAATACATGACGAAAACAAAAGACTTTACCTAAGCTTCCGATGTTCTGGAGATGTTACTCGTTTTTTTAATAGTTTTCGGTTAAAATTCTGTTATATTACAATGATATTCTATTCATACTGTGCTTGATATAATACATTCACGGAAATGTAATATTTTTGCTGAAATTACGTATGTATTAAAGTGGAAAGTGGGATAAAATCGTAACGAAAATAATGACTTTCGCTTTCTTTCGTTCAAAAGATGTTACCGTAATCGCTTTTTGAATGGTTTAGTTAAAAAACTGTTGTATTACAATAATATTCCCTCCTAATTGACTTGAATAAATACTTGAATGGAAATATACAATATTTTTGTTGAAACTACCCGCGTTTCAGTGTAAAGTGTCGTAATAATAAATGGTAAACAATTTGCCTTCGGCACTCGTGTTTCAGTTTATAGGACGTAGAGCGTTTTTACTGAAGGTTTTGTTGTTCCCTTACCCTCAAAAACGTGGGTCGAACTATAAACGAGGAATATCATAAATTAACGATTTCTTGGTCAAAAAAATCAGGGTCGACCGATAAACGAGGGGGGGGTTATAGATGAGTATATACGGTATGTTGTCACAGTTTGATTGCTCGTTTTAAAGTGGCGACCATGTGGTCGCTTGTTGTCGCTGTGCAGCTGTGGCGCTCACACATGCGCACATACACACAAAAGCCCGCTAAAAAAAATAATAATAATAATAATAATACAGTGAGTTCTGCTATAACGCGAATTTGTTCTAACGCGATTTATGAATTAGGAACGATATTTGTATAACGCGAATGCTTGTTTGCTATAACGCGATTTTTGCTTACTATTTCTCCAATTTTGTGGTACAGTGGGGTATGCTATAACGAATCTAATTGGTTCTAGAACCTTGTTCGTTATAGCATTCATTCGTTATAGGATTAATCCGTTCCAGGCCCCCAAATACAACCACTTAACACTGAAAAATATAATATAAAATTGTAAAAATTGTAAAAAAGTGCATAAATATGCATCTAAACCCCTGAAATAAAGAATATCATTAATATTTGTAATAAAAAAACAATAAATTAGAAAAAAAAAAAAAAATTAAATAATGTGAATATAGTAAAGAAAAATATCAACAAGAAGCGTTCTGGTGATAGAATTCCCGGTGATGATCGTAAAAGAAAGGATATAACACTTGAAGAGAAGCTCGATTTTATCAACCTCAAAATCACCCTTCTCCCCCATCAAGTAAAGTGTTACATTTACTGTATGATTTCATTATTAGATATGAATGTAACATTTATTTAGACTGTGCTATCCTTTGTGTTAGGCTAACTACTAAATTTTTTCGATTTCGAGTAATCTGCACCTAACCCTATTTTCTCCATAAGCCCTGTTATTTCTATTACGCGATTTTCTATAACATGATATTTTACAAGAACACAATTATCGCGTTATAGCAGAACTACCTGTAATTAGTTTTCCAAAAGTCCGGATTCTCGGGTGGTCCGGATTTTTGGACTTTTACTGTATTATTATTATTATTATTTATTATTATTATTATTATTATTATTATTATTATTATTATTATTATTATTTATTATTTATTATTTATTATTTATTATTATTATTATTATTATTATTATTTATTATTTATTATTATTATTATTATTATTATTA